TGTAAATCAGCGTGTAATTTTTTTTAAGCTAAATAAAATACCCAGCATGAACACTGTTATATCCCTTATTTCAATCATTAAGGTGTTAACGTTTTAAAACGCGTTAAAAGATGAGTTATTTTCTCTATCGATTCATCTGACTGACAGAGAGCAGGGGATCGGAGTCGGGGTTTAAGAGGCAAACCCAACTGCGCATGCTCAATGGGCCCACATCCGGGTAGTTTAAGGGCCATTCTGGGCTTCATGCACCACCGAGTAACTCTCATAGCAATAAACGGTGTTCAGCTCTTTTATACAACCATGGTCATAATTCAGGACACAGCTTTGACATCTGTGCGGAGGGAAGACTTTCTCCTTCTTCAGCTTAAAATATGAAGATCAAAACATGGATTATACACATGAATTAACCCCTTTGGCCTTATTATTCAAATGTCAACACATCCCTGCAGTTGGGGTTGATCACGTTTTTTTTGTAGGAGAGCATCCTCACAAAGCACTTGCATCCCATCTCAGTTTGTACTAAATATATGAAGCTTTTATGTGTTTATCTCAATGGTTAACTTAATTAAATATTATTTGTAATGGTTTAATGTCACTGAAATGTGCCCTCGTGATGGGACTCAGGTTTATTTAGGCCTACTCTTATTGTTATATTTGAAGATGTGGTTCAGCATCGCAGTTGTGTTGCATACTGTAGTAATAAATGACGTGTGTGTGTGAAGGTGAGGCAGTGTTCATGCTCGGGCCTGTATGTTGCAGGGTGTTGTCCTCCTTGTTGGCTTTGTGGCAATCTGTGAGGGAGTCTTCCATCTGGCCCGTCTGTGTGTGCCAGGCAGCGGGGGAGGTGGGTTTCTCACTCTCAACAAGAAACTGAGATTAGGTCAATCTGTTGGGATGCTCGTACTGGGATTAACCTCCAAACTATGAACATAAATGACATTATTGGGATGTCTTTGTGGCACGAATTGGCTCCTGATGTCTGGTGTTATGTCCCTTTTCCAATTGGCTAGACTATGATGTGGTAAAAGCAACTTTAAATAAAAATATAGTAATTAACCTACATTATGTTTGTGTGTTCTGCTGCCTGTACTGTTTCTTAGTTGTTGTTGTTGTTGTTGTTGTTGTTGTTGTTGTTGTTGTTGTTGTTTACACGTCTCTGCTTGTTCTTGTTTTGCTGTTTTTGACATAGCTTGTTTGTACTGTATCATTATTATAAAATACTTTTAAAAGGTGAACAAATTGGGATTAAACTCTAAATGATGAACATGGAGGTAGGGATGTGTGACCCACAATATTACAAACAGGGTTGGACGGTTAGGCTCCTGATATTTGGATTTATGTCCGATTAGAGCAAATGATTGAAGCACCTGAAGCAAATACACATTATAGATAAACAGCATTTCAACTGATAGGGTTGTTGTTGTTGACGCCTCTCTGCTTGTTCATGTCTTGCTGTTTTCGGTGTAGCAGATGTACATTTTCAACATGGCATCATTGAACTGTATGTTGGGATTATACTCCGATCCTCCAATATACTCAAAGTACTTTATTCAAATGGATTTGTGTGCTGCACTTTATCCCTTGGATTTAAAGGATATCTGGTTTGAAGTCCAATTAGCTAGACTATAATGTGTTAAAAGGAACCTGTAACACATATAATATAATAATGAAACAGCATTATGTTAACTCACAGGGTTTGTGTGATTTCTGTTTCTTAGTTGTTGTTGTTTACGCGTCTCGGCTTGTTCTGGTTTTGCTGTTTTTCGGTATGGCAGCTGTAGTGTATGTCTTGTATCAGTGTTATTACATGTTAAGAAAATGAAAGGTAAGCTAGAAACTGGGTGGCGTTGGTGTGTTAGTTACACTCGGGGAGGGGACACTCAGATTCACGCTGTAAACACATGTGGAAAAACTACTGATAGTATTTAAGATTTTTGTCATTAATTAACAAGAAATATCTCACAATGTTACGGGAAAAACTTGAATGTGAAGTCATAAATGAGGTCGACCTAACCATGCAGAGTGCTAAAATGAGATGGGCCTTTAAGGAGTTAAAGCAGAGTGAAAAACAGGACAGATCCACACGAGGTAAAACAAGTACACAACAAATGTAAATGATTCAGTAACTGTTGAGATATTTACATATTTGTGTTCGGATTGTTAGATATATTTAAATGTAAGTGTGCAGATGCAAGCCGGTCAAAAAGCAGACATGATCAGCCATTTAAATATGGAAATGCATTTCGTTTTTATTATTCCATATTATCCTAGGCGTTTTTCAGCCTAGGATAATATGGAGTAAATGGCTGTAACTTGCTCAGGGAACACAATGTGCGGATTACATTTGATTTGGAAGCCTAAAACATCTAAATGCAGCTTCATAAATAAAAATAAATAAAATTCCTATGATCCTGGCAGAGTGAACACTAAAAAAACACAACATTTGTACTGGCGTTTTTGAAAAGTGCTGGTAAAGTCAGCCATTATCACACAAAGTTAAGGTTAAATGTGAACTTTAAATAAAGCAGACTTGAGCTTGAGGTTCTCCTGAATCAAATGAGGTAAGGCACTTGATGCTGAGTGCTAGAGAAGGTTAGAGAAGGTTAGAGAAGGTTAGGAGAAACAAATAAATACAGGAGAGTCAGGCGGGCGGAAGCTTACTTACATTTCTTCGCCAAAAATAATACAGTTTTTCATTTTTTTTCAAATTGATCTCAGAGAATATTCGAGTTTCCTGTAAATGTTCAACTTTCCCCTCAAAAATGTGACAAACTCCAGAAACGTGAAAGTTGTCTGATATCAAAGTCACAAAAGGACACAAATGAACATGACTTTTCCACGTTGGATTAACTCATCACTCAAAAGTAAATATATTTTCTAGTTCATGTTTATTTAGTCCCCGATATAAACCAACCTATACTTCTGGGCAGGGACGTGCACAGACATTTGGAGGGGCTATTGCTCTAAACTGGAAAAAGGGCACTCAGTTGACTTTTATGTCCACTGCTAAATTCGTTATTCAGGCACATTTTTTGTTTTGCGGATTACGCCTTATTTGTATTCTTATCATTCTTTATCAGCGCAGTAACGGTATCTAATTACTTATTTATTTAGTATTCCATCACTTAATAACAGAGATGGTCAAACTGAAGTGGAGACATGGCATAAATCCTACAATGAAGCGGGACATTGAACTGTTCACCCGTGAGAGGGCGATCAAGAGAAGAGAGCGAGCGGCGCGTTGAGGGAGTTCACGGAGCAGAGTAAAAGACACCAGAAAGACAGAAGCACAATAACAACAAGTATATTTAGGTGTTTTTTTTGTAAGTAACCGACGGTGTCAAGAGGAAGTAAAGTCCCCTGGTTTGTCCCCTATACTCTAACGCCAGGCAGGCACATGGTATGATCACCATAGGAGGCCGGAAGGCTGTCCTTTGCTTCCAGCTGTCAGATTGTAAACAAAGTCACGTGACTGGGGGCAGATGTCAGCGCGGACAAGGTGTGTTTCCCGCAGCGAGACGCTACAATACTAATTGTGGGCTTATCATCTTGATTCGGCCACAATAGAAAAAAAACTAAAAACTCTCACTCTCTCCAGAGGGGCAGGTCAGACAAAAATGGCAAATGGGCCGTTGCCCGGGCAACATCAGTCCGTACCATAGGTCCGTACCTGTGCACGTCCCTGCTTCTGGGGACTGCAATCCTTCAGAGTCTTTGTCCATACTCCCCCGGCTCTATACATATATATATATATATATATTAGGGCTGTCAAGTTAACGCGTTAATTAAAAAAAATTAACGCCACTAATTATTTTAACGCGATTAACGCATGTGTATTTTTTGTCCTCGGCCGCCCCGTAGTTTCAGAGCGCATCGAGTTTAAAATACGATCTACAAGCTGATGCTGACAGCCCCGCTCCTGCCGCCCGCTTGTGGCAGACCACACTTCCACGCTCACCGGCAGGCACCGACTGGCTGTTGGGAGGACCGGGAGGGTGTGTGTATGTGTGGCTCGAGCGAGCGAGAGAGAGACCTTACGTGCATTGTTGTTGTTAGCATCTGGTGCTAGCTAGCTGCGCTAACGGATATAAGGAGCTGCTTAAATTAAAACAGAGGAGCGGCATTTCGCCACAACTGCGCCGAGCACTTGACTTTATGCAGGAAGCCAGACAGTGGGACATTGTACGAGAAGTCAGCACACTCAGCACGGATAGTGCGCAACATGATTGCAGCGTCCAGGCAGCTCCCGTTCGAGCATATGCCTTGAGTTGCACATAGCTCCAACGATCCAACACACACACACACACACACACGCACACACACACACACACACACACACACACACACACACACACACACACACACACACACACACACACACAGAGGTTGTTGTGTTTAATATTCATGAGAATATTTGTCATTGTTCAAATGATAATAAACATTAGCATAAAGCATATTTGTCCTCTCATATGTTGATAAGAGTATTAAAAACTTGAAAAATATTCCTCTAAGGTACATTTAGAACAGATAAAAAATGTGCGATTAATTTGCGATTAATCGCGATTAACTATTTTAATCGACTGACAGCCCTAATATATATATTATATATCTACACTGGTCCTGTTTACCCCTCTGCTGTTCTGCCTGCGCTCTGGGATGTTGTTGTCCTGTGTGCCGGCTGTGTTCAGTATTGATCTGATATTGATCCGTGTTATAGAGAAGAGCGTCTCTGTGTTCAATCAATCAATCATCAGCAGCTGCTCTCCAAACTATAACCTAACTTCACTTTGAAAACCTGCAACCACCACCTCCAGTTATCTGCTTGAATTCGCTTTATCTACGGTAAATAAAAGAACAGGACCGTCTGTTCTGACCTGTGTGTGTGTGTGTGTGTGTGTGTGTGTGTGTGTGTGTGTGTGTGTGTGTGTGTGTGTGTGTGTGTGTGTGTGTGTGTGTGTGTGTGTGTGTGTGTGTGTGTGTGTGTGTGTGTGTGTGTGCAGGGTTGGCAGCCTCCGTTTGCTTGTGATGTCGACAGACTTCACTTCGTCCCTCGGATCCAGAGGCTCAACGAGCTGGAGGTGAGTTTATTTAAATTGATATATAAACACTTTTTCCCTGTATTCATATATAGAAGATGTAATGAGTTAAAAGCCCATAAAGATGACATTTGTTTATTTAAACATTCAAACTGATTGTCGAGCGTATCACGTCTCGTTCCTCCGTGTGTTGGATGATGTTTCCTCTTGTTTGGATTACTCTCGGCCCTGTTTTGTTATCTCTCCCCGGGGATGGCCTCACTTTTCCTTATAAGCCTTGCTCTCGCTTGTTTCCCTGGTTTCTGCGGCTGACTGTTTGCATTTCTCACATTATGTCCCAGGCGCAGACCAGAGTCAAACTCAACTTCCTCGACCAGATCGCCAAATTCTGGGACCTGCAGGGATGCGCCCTGAAGATCCCCCACGTGGAGAGGAAGATCCTGGATCTATACAAGCTGAACAAGGTGCATCATTATATACTGAATATCGACCCCATGCTGCAGCAAAAGCTTTATTTATGACACTGACTTTCAAACTCTAGGACCAATTTGAACGCTGCAGCTTTTTAGTTTCTGTTTGCATGTTATTGTGTCAAACCTTGTATTTTTGCAGAGTGTGAGATAAAAATGACACTTAAATTATTAATATTACAACTTTAAAGGGGACCTATCATGCAAAATGCACTTTGTGATGTCTTCTCTCCATCAACATGTGTCCCCGGTGTGTCGGGGAACTCACGCAGCATCAGGAAATAAAACCCTCTCTCTTTTCCTCCGTACCCAAATCTCTAAAAACGGGGAACAACGAGCTGATCCAGATTTGCGTCCGATATGACGTAATATCTGAAATGTGGACCCACGGCCCAATCAGAAACGTTGCTATCAGAAACAATGGCCGACTGTTTTGGACGTAATATGGTCGGTGTTTACATTAGCATCGCTAACACTCAGAGCTAACCTGTACTGGAGAGCATGTGTGTGAAGAAGCAGGAAGTAAAAAGGAACTCACCTTGTGGTATAACCGGCAAGAGAGAAAGACTTTGAGCTCCATACTGTTTCAGAGAGAATCCTTGATGATCCATGATATGGCGTTTCATCACCGCAGCATTTAGCTTAGACAGTAACTGCCGGGTCCCGCATGAGCTCAGACCCCTCCTCTTTAAAGCTTTATCCCCAAATCAGCACTTTAGAAACAGGAAGTGAAATAGAGGGATATGAGGCATGGCTAGAATCTGTTTGGTGTTTGGAGCAAAACACTTCATACACATGTTTTTTGTATATGTATGTATATATCTGAGAGCTATGCTATTCGTATATCTATGCTTGTATGACGGCATGTTAGGTCCACGCTGTACGGGGGTTTAAAAAATAACTCATATTTAAATTAGAGAGACACCAATCTGTTGCTATAGCTAGATGCTACTTTGTGAGATAGTAAGCTAACGTGTGTGTGTGTGTGTGTGTGTGTGTGTGCGTGCGTGTGTGCGTGTGTGTGTGTGTGCGTGTGTGTGCAGCTGGTCGCAGAGGATGGAGGCTTTGATCTGGTCTGCACGGAGCGCCGCTGGACGAAGATAGCGATGACGATGGGTTTCGCTCCAGGTAAAGCGGTGGGCTCTCACCTGAGAGTTCACTACGAGAAGATCCTGTACCCCTACAACCTGTTCCAGAGCGGAGCACACCTGCTGGTGAGGAGCAGGAACAACACTCACATATACATTAAACTTATTAACAGAGGAGCGAGCAGACAACATTAGGTCATGTGCTCTAAGAAAGAGGATTTTATTGCATGATGCAGATTTTCATTTTGCACAAACACGTAAAGCTAAAGAATCGTCTGTAGAAACAAAAATGTAGTTTTCTCAAGTTCAAGTCTCAAGTCTCAAGTCTCTCTCATCATGAGCTCAGCAGCTACAGAGTCGATATGGAAAACCTGGAGTCCTCCTCCAGCAGAGCAACGTGTCTGTTAGGACATGGAACAGATAAAACACATCAATCAAAGAAAAGATAGTCATTTTTCATAAATTCGAACATTTCTCTGAAAATCTAAAAATTCAAACTTTCTCTAAAGATTCTGAAAATCTAAAAAATCCCGATTTTTTTTTCTGAAAATCTAAAAAATTCTGACTTTTTTTTCGAAAATCATAAAATTCGGACTTTTCTGAAAATCCTTAAAATGTTGACTTTTTTCAGAAAATTCAAGTTTCAAGTCTCTCTCAACACGAGCTCAGCAGCTACAGAGTAGATATGGAAAACCTGGAGTCCTCCTCCAGCAGAGCAACATGAATGTATATCGGACAGAACAGATGGAACAGAATGTCCCCTCTGATCCGAGAGAGTAGCCTGAGTCCAACTCAAGACTCAGAGGAAAGCCTCCTGGCTCCATATATATGATTTGTTTGTATTGCTAATTTTACCACAAATTCTTAAAATATTTGAAATGCAAAAATCCCTTCGTCGTGTCGTCATACAAAACGGCATGAACACACAAATCACTGAGGAAGAAACCTGAATATTGTGGACGCACCACTTTGAATCTATAACAGAACAGCATCTCACATTGAGGATATAAAATCCCTTCATTTCTTAACAGAAGAAAATCTCACGAATTATCAAAAAGTCAAAACAATCTCCTGTGTTTTGTTTTATAAAAAAACCTCATGAAATAACAAAGGCTGAGGATAAGAATCAGAAAGAGAAAACCCCACAAAAAAAAATCTTAAATTTGCGACTAAAATCATTCTCACCTGAATCTATGAAGGTATATTTCTACATTAAAAAAAAATCATAATTTCACAAATTAATGAAACAATAAACGCTGCTCCTCGGCTCCGTACATATCATTTATTTTATACCTGTATATTGCATTATTGAACGTTCACTCATAAACAAAAATCTCAACTTACAATCAGAGATGAAGAAAGCATAATTTTAAGCCCCGTCCACACTGAGACGAGAAGAAACGTATCCGTCCAAACGAACCCGCTGGAGACGCTGTAGTACATATGCCGGGCCTGTAAGTGGCGCTGTACTTCCGCCACAAAATACACCAAAAGCAGCGAAGAAGACCCCTGAGCATAAACAAACAAACTGTAGATTTGGCACTAAAAGCTGTATCATGGTCAGTAGCGTCTGGAGCACGAACGCAACCCTGTGACCCATCACATGTCACTTGTTAGACGCTTTTATCCAAAGCCACGAACATACTCAATACTGTGGCCAATCACAGGAGCACTTTGGGGTGAAGGGTCTCAGGGACACAACGACATGCTGACTGCAGTGGGGTTTTAACCTGTGACCCCCTGATCCCAACACCAAGGCTCTATCCACTGCGCCACACGCCTCCCTCCGCCATTGTTGTTGTTGGCGAAACGCATCAGCAATGATGCGGGGGTGAGCAGGAGAGGCGAGGCTATGGTCGTATAGGGCGTACACACGGAGCCGCAAGCGTTTCGTCCCCAGACCTTCCCACCTTGGGAGCCGTTATCAGAGGGTATCGTTTGAGGGCTCCGTGTCGGCTCCGTGTCGGCCTCGTGTGGACGAACCGTCTACCTCTCTAACCAGGGCTATTCAATCGGCGGCTCGCGGGCTAAATCCGGCCCCGGGGTGATATTTACTGGCCCTTTGAGTTTAATGTTAAAAAGTAATCTACTTTTCTTTTTCTTTTTTTAAGATTTAAAGAGTGCCTTTATTCCAGAGAGGGTGTCACATTGAGAGATAGAGGGAAAGACATTGCCTGAAAACTTCTGCGGGCTCGGGTTTCGAACCCACCTACTAGCTAAGGTAGTGATAAACTGTCATTGATGGCATCTCTGCGTGAATGATTAGATAATTTCACCTAAATTAAATCAAATGATGTTGACGGTTAAATGATCTTCACATGTAGGCATACTGAGTTCTGAGCCATTAAGATCTCTAAAGGCCTTGGTGCTATGTTGTTTGATTTAATTAAACACAATGCATGCACTCCACTATGCTGTTGTAGTAGCCCCTTGCTTTGGATCATTTTCATCAACCGGCCCCATTCCAAACTAATTGAATAGCCCTGGTCTATACGATAAAGAACTGTAGCGGATACAACCCGTTTCGTCTCCGTGTGGACGGGGCCTTAGATGTGTTTGCTTTACTCACCCTCACAGTGTTTGTGTCAACAGAAACACAGTAAACAGAGTTCGGCTGATCTGTAAACAAACCCTGATAATGCTCATCCATAGCTTTTTATTTCCACCTATCATTTAATGTTCCGGTCAAAGTTAAATCATGTGTTACGCTATAAAAGATGTGTACAGGAAGACTAGTGTCCTAGCATGAAAACAAAAGGAAACAAATGCATTGTTAGGAAATGCATGGTTTGTTTACGTTGCAGGATGACGTTTGTTTTGAACTCTGTTGTTTGACTAACATCAGAGAGTGAGAACTGAATTGCTTTCACACAAGAACAAAGTGCTCAAACCCAACATGTGTGTCTCCGGCTCTCTCTGCTCAGGCTCCAGAGGCAGCTTCCAAACTGAAGCTTGGTTTGGAGGCTGAGCCTGAACTGGAAAAGGTACGTTAGTGTCGGCAAACTCACCATTAACAAACATGCATGAAGATGTGCACGTGTGGCGGTGTGTTCAGGGTCCTGTTTCACTGAAGACGTGGCGGTGTGTTCAGGGTCCTGTTTCACTGAAGACGTGGCGGTGTGTTCAGGGTCCTGTTTCACTGAAGACGTGGCGGTGTGTTCAGGGTCCTGTTTCACTGAAGACGTGGCGGTGTGTTCAGGGTCCTGTTTCAATGAAGACGTGCACGTGTGGCGGTGTGTTCAGGGTCCTGTTTCACTGAAGACGTGGCGGTGTGTTCAGGGTCCTGTTTCACTGAAGACGTGGCGGTGTGTTCAGGGTCCTGTTTCAATGAAGACGTGCACGTGTGGCGGTGTGTTCAGGGTCCTGTTTCAATGAAGACGTGCACGTGTGGCGGTGTGTTCAGGGTCCTGTTTCACTGAAGACGTGCATGTGTGGCGGTGTGTTCAGGGTCCTGTTTCAATGAAGACGTGCATGTGTGGCGGTGTGTTCAGGGTCCTGTTTCAATGAAGACGTGCATGTGTGGCGGTGTGTTCAGGGTCCTGTTTCAATGAAGACGTGCATGTGTGGCGGTGTGTTCAGGGTCCTGTTTCAATGAAGACGTGCACGTGTGGCGGTGTGTTCAGGGTCCTGTTTCACTGAAGACGTGCATGTGTGGCGGTGTGTTCAGGGTCCTGTTTCACTGAAGACGTGCATGTGTGGCGGTGTGTTCAGGGTCCTGTTTCACTGTCGGACTGGGAATTAAAAACAGCTGGGAGCTCGTTTTTCGGCACAAAGATCGTTTGAATCGATCAGTAGTGGTTTCATGAGGAGGAGGAGGAGGAGGAGGAGGAGGAGGAGGAGGAGGAGGAGGAGGAGGAGGAGGAGGAGGAGGAGGTATTCAGATCACTTCAGTAAAGGTACTTAAACCACACTGGATGAAAGGCGTTCTTACAAATACAAGTCCTGCATTGAAAATGTTCTTAAGTAAGTGTTCTGAAAGAAAGTCAATAAATGATGACGTACTCAACACAGTTTGTTCTTTAAAATACTTCAAAATAAAGTTTAGGTTGAGAATACTCAGGGAAAGTACAAGTACCTCCAAATCTAAAAAAAAGTGTGTGTCTGTTTTCGTGTGTGTCTGTGTGTATGTCTCTGTGTTCGTGTGTCTCTGTGTGTGTGTGTGTGTGTGTGTGTGTGTGTGTGTGTGTGTGTGTGTGTGTGTGTGTGTGTGTGTGTGTGTGTGTGCTGTGTGTGTGTGTGTGTCTCTGTGTTCGGTGTCTCTGTGTGTGTGTGTGTGTGTGTGTGTGTGTGTGTGTGTGTCTCTGTGTGTGTGTGGCTGTCTTCGTGTGTGTGTGTCTCTGTGTGTGTGTGTGTGTGTGTGTATGTGTGTGTGTGTGTGTGTGTGTGTGTGTGTGTGTGTGTGTGTGTGTCTGTGTGTGTCTCTGTGTGTGTGTCTGTGTTCGTGTGTGTGTGTGTGTGTGTGTGTGTGTCTATGTGTGTCTGTGTGTGTCTTTGTGTGTGTCTCTGTGTGTGTCTGTGTCTGTGTGTCTGTGTGTCTGTGTGTGTGTGTGTGTGTGTGTGTGTGTTTGTGTGTGTGTGTACAAGTACCTCCAAACATCAGAAAAAAGTTTATGCCAAAAATATAATATTTTCACAGCTTTACAAGAATCTAAACATTAAGTTTTGACTATTTTTTATTTAAAAACTCGTGTTTCTAATGTAAAAATCCTAATGAGTAAATCAGTAAAAAGTACCCTCTTATAGTGCGGTAGAAGTGGCATGGAAAGCAAATACTCAGCTATAGTACAAGTACCTCTAAACCTTAAAACCTTAAAAGAATACATCGGTTTTTGAAGTATTTCTAGTATACTGTGTTTACCTCGTTGTCAGGCAGGTTTCATACTGAAGACGTTTCCCCACAGACTAACACAGACTAACACAGACTAACACAGACTAACACAGACTAACACAGACTAACACAGACTAACACAGACTAACACAGACTAACACAGACTAACACAGACTAACCCAGACTAACACAGACTAACCCAGACTAACACAGACTAACACAGACTAACCCAGACTAACACAGACTAACACAGACTAACCCAGACTAACACAGACTAACACAGACTAACACAGACTAACACAGACTAACACAGACCAACACAGACTAACACAGACTAACCCAGACTAACACAGACTAACACAGACTAACCCAGACTAACACAGACTAACACAGACTAACACAGACTAACACAGACTAACCTAGACTAACACAGACTAACACAGACCAACACAGACTAACACAGACTAACACAGACTAACACAGACCAACACAGACCAACACAGACTAACCCAGACTAACACAGACCAACACAGACCAACACAGACCAACCTAGACTAACACAGACCAACACAGACTAACACAGGCTAACACAGACTAACACAGACCAACCCAGACTAACACAGACTAACCCAGACTAACCCAGACTAACCCAGACTAACACAGACCAACACAGACTAACACAGACCAACCCAGACTAACACAGACTAACCCAGACTAACCCAGACTAACCCAGACTAACACAGACCAACACAGACTAACACAGACTAACCCAGACCAACACAGACTAACACAGACTAACCCAGACCAACACAGACCAACACAGACTAACACAGACTAACCCAGACCAACACAGACTAACACAGACTAACCCAGACTAACACAGACTAACACAGACCAACACAGACTAACACAGACCAACCCAGACTAACACAGACTAACACAGACCAACACAGACTAACACAGACTAACCCAGACTAACCCAGACTAACACAGACTAACCCAGACCAACACAGACTAACCCAGACTAACACAGACTAACCCAGACTAACCAATGGAGGAGAGGAAGCCCAGAAACACCTGAGTGCTGCGACGTAAGATTACAGTTGGAATTGAGTCTGAGAGCTGATCAGCTGCTCATGAGTTTAGATGTTGTCTCCTCTCCTTCTTAATGGCCTCTTTAATGACTGAACAGCACCTCGACGCGCAGCTCTCTGAACGTCTGACTTTCCTCGCCTCCTCCTCACCTGCTCGCCTGCTCACCTCCTCACCTCCTCACCTGCTCACCTGCTCACCTCCTCACCTGCTCGCCTGCTCACCTCCTCGCCTGCTCACCTCCTCGCCTGCTCACCTCCTCACCTCCTCACCTGCTCGCCTGCTCACCTGCTCGCCTCCTCGCCTGCTCACCTGCTCACCTCCTCGCCTGCTCACCTTTCCTCAGTTTGGCATGATCCTCCCTGTTTGAACTGAAATACTTTCTCTACCCACATCCTCCTCTGGATGTTGACTCTCTCTCTGATGGAGTCCTTCAGCCCCAGCGTGACGCTCTTACTTCCCCAGAGCTGATTTTATTACAGCTGTTTTTATTACAGCTGCTTTTATTACAGCTGCTTTTTATTACAGCTGCTTTTATTACAGCTGCTTTTTATTACAGCTGCTAAACACAAGCAATAATCATAAAGAGATCTTTTTAAATACAGGCGGAACTTCCTGTTTTAGAACACCTGTCTTTGTTGGCGTAGTCAAATGAAACGCAGCGTCATATCTATTCATATCATATCTCACCTGAACACACAGGTATTTCCAGTTACACACACACACACACACACACACACACACACACACACACACACACACACACACACACACACACACACACACACACACACACACACACACACACACACACACACACACACACACACACACACACACTTCCTCTTGTCTATATTACATTACATTTCTCTGACGCTTTTATCCAAAGCAAGGTGCAATAAGAAGAACAACAAGAAACATGCAGGAACGTGAGCTTGGTGCTAAAGCAGCAATGGGGAGGTTAAAGACCCGCTGTGTGTTTCCTGCAGTGTGTTCAGAAGGCGGAGGGAACAGGAAGTGACATCACCGCGGACACCAAGGAGCTGCAGACCCCCCCGACCTCGCCCGACACACACTCTGAAAGAAGAGCCAAACGCATGAAGTGTGAGGTGGGTGACGTTTCAATGCACACACACACACACACACACACACACACACACACACACACACACACACACACACACACACACACACACACACACACACACACACACACACACACACACACTCTGTGCATAGGTTCAAACTATCAACTAGCTTTTATATTGTGAGATATATGTAATATCGTGCTTCCCTAATTCTACACATATTCCCTGTTATGTATTATGAGTCGTTTACCTTCCTCCATGTGTCTGCAGGCCGTCTGTGTGAAGACAGAACCAGTCGAGCCCGGAGACAGACCCAACCTGAGGAGGAGGATGGGATCCTTCGTCGCCAAACAGGAACCAGGTGAGGCTCCGCATCCCAAATATAAAATATATATAAACAGTATTTATGGAAACACCTCAGCTTAGTGCTTGTGACTCAAAGCAGGGACTCAGAGCTTCATCTGATGTGGCCCGCAAGAGCTCTGAACGAATATAATACGTTTATTATACGGTTACATGCCGCTTTACAGAAGCACGTTGCCCATGAACTACATGTCCCACAATGCATCTTATTTAACGACATGAGCACTGAAGAGACTTACGGCCGTCCACACGTCTCCGTGGAGAAAAGTTCAATTTTTCAAGCTTCGACGGAAGCGTCAGCCAATCAAATCATATGCCAGCACAAGCTCTAGCCAATCAAACCGCATGCTTGTGTGTCCGGGGCGGGAGAAGAATGTGATTGGATGTTAGTCGCACGCCAGACACGCCCACCGGCAAGCTTCAACGCACGCTGCCGTGTGGACGCACCGTTACAATGATTTGCCCTAGACTTCTGCTTTCAGACGTAGTTAATTATGAAGTTATTACCCTATCTGATAATAATCCAACGCAGAGGCAATCATGTAATATAATACACTATTTTATATATATTATTTATTTGTATATATGTTTATTTATATAGTCTTGAAGTTACAACCGGCCCTTTGAGTGCAACCATAATGCTGATGTGGCCCGAGATGAAATTGAGTTTGCTCTAACGGGACAATATTAAAGTCAGAGAAGGTGGAAAATAATAATAATATTTAACATGTTGATGGTAATGTTTACAGGCAGACATTTGAGCCTGGTGTAGTGCCAGGAAAAGGGAGTCGGAGGCGGTGTATTAAGAACAGAGTTCCAATCTTTATTAGCCATTAATAACAGAGAGGTTATCGCATGAACTGCTCTGCTTGACGAGCTAGCAGGTGTTCCCACTAAAGGGTCCGTGTGGCAACACAATACGAGAGGTGAATTATGTCCAATAACGTGTCACCACACTGGTATATTAACTGGTAATGATAAAACACAGCCTTTTAGACGCGTACAGCTACATGACGCTGTGTTATAAACCCTATGTCACATGTTTGTATTCTGCGTCTGTGATGCTGTTGCTCACCTTTTCTCTGTTGTCTTGCAGAAAAAGAGATTCCCATCCCAGTGAAACAGGAGCCCGTGGAAATTAAAGAGCCGATCATAGAAGACAAATTAAAGTCACGATACAAGAAACCCCCTCCAGTCCTCCCCAGTGCAGTGAGTACAAACTCTAATGTACCTGCATGTGGTGAAGTCATGTGACTGTGCTGTAGTTCCTTTATAGCCCAACATTAGCCTCCTTTAGCTTAGCGGTGGTGACCTGAAGTCATGTGACCGTCCTGTAGTTCCTTTATAGCCAAACATTAGCCGCCTTTAGCTTAGCGGTGGTGACGAGAAGTCATGTGACCGTGCTGTAGTTCCTTTATAGCCCAACATTAGCTGCCTTTAGCTTAGCGGTGGTGACGTGAAGTCATGTGACCGTGCTGTAGTTCCTTTATAGCCCAACATTAGCTGCCTTTAGCTTAGCGGTGGTGACGTGAAGTCATGTGACCGTGCTGTAGTTCCTTTATAGCCCAACATTAGCTGCCTTTAGCTTAGCGGTGGTGACGAGAAGTCATGTGACCGTGCTGTAGTTCCTTTATAGCCCAACATTAGCTGCCTTTAGCTTAGCGGTGGTGACGAGAAGTCATGTGACCGTGCTGTAGTTCCTTTATAGCCCAACGTTAGCCCCCTTTAGCTTAGCGGTGGTGACGTGAAGTCATGTGACTGTGCTGTAGTTCCTTTATAGCCCAACATTAGCCTCCTTTAGCTTAGCGGTGGTGACGTGAAGTCATGTGACCGTGCTGTAGTTCCTTTATAGCAGAACATTAGCCACCTTTAGCTTAGCGGTGGTGACGAGAAGTCATGTGACCGTGCTGTAGTTCCTTTATAGCCGAACATTAGCCGCCTTTAGCTTAGCGGTGGTGACGTGAAGTCATGTGACCGTGCTGTAGTTCCTTTATAGCCCAACATTAGCTGCCTTTAGCTTAGCGGTGGTGACGTGAAGTCATGTGACCGTGCTGTAGTTCCTATATAGCCCAACATTAGCCGCCTTTAGCTTAGCGGTGGTGACGTGAAGTCATGTGACCGTGCTGTAGTTCCTATATAGCCCAACGTTAGCCCCCTTTAGCTTAGCGGTGGTGACGTGAAGTCATGTGACCGTGCTGTAGTTCCTTTATAGCCCAACATTAGCCCCCTTTAGTTTAGCGGTGGTGACGTGAAGTCATGTGTCCGTGCTGTAGTTCCTTTATAGCCCAACGTTAGCCCACTTTAGCTTAGTGGTGGTGATGTGAAGTCATGTGACCGTGCTGTAGTTCCTTTATAGCCCGACATTAGCCGCCTTTAGCTTAGCGGTGGTGACGAGAAGTCATGTGACCGTGCTGTAGTTCCTTTATAGCCCAACTTTAGCCACCTTTAGCTTAGCGGTGGTGACGTGAAGTCATGTGACCGTGCTGTAGTTCTTATATAGCCCAACGTTAGCCCCCTTTAGCTTAGCGGTGGTGACGTGAAGTCATGTGACCGTGCTGTAGTTCCTTTATAGCCTGATCTTAGCTTCTTACTTCAGAAGTGGTGTTAATAAGTGTAGATTATCCTGCATAATTCAACGTGTATGTATCATAAAAGATTTGAGATTATTTTCTGACATAATCCAAAATCACATGGAGACATCCCATTGGACGAGGGAGATGCTGCCTTCAGGATCACCCTGTAAAAGCCCCTCTCTAATGCTGGTCTCTCTTCAGCCGGCCTGGCTCTCCCCCTCTGTGCTGCAGGTGGACCTGGTGATCTGTCTGGTGTGTGGTAGCGGGGGGGACGAAGAGCGCCTCCTGCTGTGCGACGGCTGTGATGACAGCTATCACACGTTCTGCCTCATCCCCCCCCTGCCAGAAATCCCCAAAGGAGACTGGAGGTGCCCCAAGTGCCTCGCTCAGGTGAGGAGGAGCATGTGATTAATGAGCGGGCCAAGATATCAAAACTAGTGTACACCTTTAAAAACAAGACCATTGTGGGTTAGGAGAGTTTAAGAGGGAGCACTAATCCCAGGACAGACTCAGAAATGTTTAAAGTCATACATTTGCCAGAAAAACTTCTACTTCTCCTTTTACTCAAGTACAACATCTGTGTACTAAATAAAGTACTTGTATTCGTCCCAAAGAGGCAAACATAGTTACAGCAAAGAGACAATAATGACAGAGACAGTATTCAGTAAATCGGCATGCACACATATTAAAGGGGAAAGGGGAAAAGCAGCCAGTAGCAGAATGTAAACAACGAGAAATAAACAATATATAAATTAACAATCTGATAAATCTATTCTTTAAACTTGATATTATGTGATTGCGCTTATAGTAACAGTTAAGATGTGGTGAGAAAGGCTTCAAAGTGCTTGGATGTCACTCTTGAAAAGCTCTACAACCCCAGAATACAGGGATGTCCTGAACACATTCAGTATAATCATCTCATGATAATGTTTCTCTGCAGGAATGCAACAAACCTCACGAGGCGTTCGGCTTCGAGCAGGCGTACAGAGACTACTCTCTGAGAGCCTTCGGACAAATGGCCGACGCTTTCAAATCGGATTACTTCAACATGCCGGTTCATGTGAGTACAAACAGTTCATAATGACCAGAGGAGTAGAAAGTACAGGTATTTGTGTTCAACATGTAAGAAGTAGAAAGTACAGGTATTTGTGTTCAACATGTAAGAAGTAGAAAGTACAGGCATTTGAGTTCAACATGTAAGAAGTAGAAAGTACAGGTATTTGTGTTCAACATGTAAGAAGTAGAAAGTACAGGTATTTGTGTTCAACATGTAAGAAGTAGAAAGTACAGGTATTTGGGTTCAACATGTAAGAAGTAGAAAGTTCAGGTATTTGTGTTCAACATGTAAGAAGTAGAAAGTACAGGTATTTGAGTTCAACATGTAAGAAGTAGAAAGTACAGGTATTTGGGTTCAACATGTAAGAAGTAGAAAGTACAGGTATTTGTGTTCAACATGTGAGAAGTAGAAAGTACAGGTATTTGTGTTCAACATGTAAGAAGTAGAAAGTACAGGTATTTGGGTTCAACATGTAAGAAGTAGAAAGTACAGGTATTTGTGTTCAACATGTGAGAAGTAGAAAGTACAGGTATTTGTGTTCAACATGTGAGAAGTAGAAAGTACAGGTATTTGAGTTCAACATGTAAGAAGTCAAAGTAAAAAGTCGTCAGAAAAATAAGTAGTGGAGTAAAGTACTGATACCAGAAACATGTACTTAAGTACAGTAACGAAGTATTTGTACTCCAATACTTCCCACCTCTGTTTATATATATATATTTATGCCGTCTCGTCCCAGATGGTTCCCACGGAGCTGGTGGAGAAGGAGTTCTGGCGTCTGGTGGGAGCGATCGAGGAGGACGTGACCGTGGAGTACGGAGCGGACATCGCCTCCAAAGAGTTCGGCAGCGGGTTCCCGATCCCCAACGGGAGGTTCAAGGTCTCCCCGGAGGACGAGGTGAACACAGGGGAAACCACAGAGAAGTCTTTGAGAAGCAGTGAAGTCAATCGGGAGTAGGGTTGGTGAAAGTTTTACATTTCTGCAGCTTCAGAAATGATGCAGATATAAAACCCAAATGTTCCAAAACACACACAAAAAACATTCAGCAACTTGAGGAAACATGCGCAGCGTTTACTAAACGCTGCAGAAACCAAACGCTGCAACGTAGCTAACGTAGCCATTTCAGATGGACTGACCGATAGCAGACACTGTCCCTCTACACTCATCTCAAAGTCAAAGTCAATCTTCCAGTTTGTGTTTACAGAGAGATCGAAATACCCTTTCCCACAATCCAGAATACAAAATAATAAAAATGTGTGTGTGTGTGTGTGTGTGTGTGTGTGTGTGTGTGTGTGTGTGTGTGTGTGTGTGTGTGTGTGTGTGTGTGTGTGTGTGTGTGTGTGTGTGTGTGTGTGTGTGTGTGTGTGTGCAGAAGTACCTGCAGTGCGGCTGGAACCTGAACAACCTGGCGATGATGAACCCCTCGGTGCTGACCCACGTGACGGCTGATATCTGCGGCATGACGCTGCCCTGGCTCTACGTCGGGATGTGCTTCTCCTCCTTCTGCTGGCACATAGAGGACCACTGGAGCTACTCCATCAACTACCTGCACTGGTACACACACACACACACACACACACACACACACACACACACACACACACACATACCATGTATACATCACTTCAGGGGACATTACATTGACTTACATGCTATTCCTGGAGACTTATCCTAACCTTAACCATAACCAACACATGCCTAACCCTAACCCTTAACCTTACCCTTACCCTTACCCTAACCCTAACCAAGTCTTCACCCTAAAATTAATGGTTCCCCTTATGGGGACCTCCAATTTGTCCCCATATAGGAGGCGAGTCCCCACACGTGACTGTGTAAACAGATTTAGGTCCCCACAAGTATAGTAATGCTAGGCCACACACAATAATAATAATAATATATTTTATTTCTATAGCGCTTTTCTTGAACCCAAAGACGCTTTACATTTGGGAGGGAGGGTAGACAAACAAAACAAAGACAATGCCAAAAAGAAACAAAACAAAATAGAAAAGCAGTCAGGAGGAAGTTGATTGAGAGGGGGGGGGGCTTATGGATATAGAGTTGAAGAGGTGGGTTTTGAGGCGGGACTAGAACAGGGTGAGGGACTCAGACTCACGGAGGTCTTGGGGGAGGGAGTTCCAGAGCTTCGGGGCTGCCACAGAGAAGGCTCTGTCCCTGAAGCTCCGGAGTTTGGCCTTGGGGATGGAAAGCAAACCGGCTGAGGTGGATCTGAGGGACCGGGGTGGTTGGTAGAGGATGAGGAGGTCAGTGAGGTAGGGGGGGGCCAGATGGTGGAGGGCTTTGAAAGTGAGGACCAGGAGTTTGTAGTGGATGCGGTGTGAAACGGGGAGCCAGTGGAGTTCTTTGAGGACCGGGTGATGTGATGCCATGATTTGGTGTGGGTGAGGAGTCTGGCGGCTGCGTTCTGGACACGCTGGAGTCTATTGAGGGATGTGGAGCTGATGCCGTAGAGGAGGGAGTTGCAATAGTCAAGGCGGGAGGAGATGAAGGCGTGAATGAGTCGCTCAGCTGCAGGGCGGGTGAGAGAGGGACGGAGTTTGGCAATATTGCGGAGATGGAAAAATGAGGTTTTTACAACTTGACGGATGTGGGGCTCGAGGGAGAGGGTGGGGTCAAATATAACGCCAAGGTTGCGTGCCTGGGTGGAGGGGGAAACAGGGGTGCCATCAATGGTGACTGTCAGGTTGGGGGTTTTGCTGAGGGTGGATTTGGAGCCGATGAGGAGGAGTTCAGTTTTATTGCTGTTGAGTTTGAGGAAGTTGTGTTGCATCCAGGATTTTATTGCAGTCAGACAGGATTCGATGTGGGTGAGGGGGGGGTTGTTGGGGGATTTGGTGCTGAGGTAAATCTGGGTGTCGTCGGCGTAACAGTGAAAGTCCAGGTTGTATTGGCGGAGAATCTGACCAAGGGGGAGGATGTAGATGATGAAGAGGAGGGGGCCGAGTACTGAACCTTGGGGAACACCTTGGGTGACTGAAGCTGTGGAAGAGGAGTGGTTGTTGAGGGAGATGAAGTGGGATCTGTCGGAGAGGTAGGACTGGAGCCACCTGAGTGCAGTACCATCGATACCGATGTCCTGGAGTCGGGTAAGCAGGATGGAGTGGCTCGCGGTATCGAAGGCTGCACTCAGGTCGAGGAGGATGAGGATGTTGAGGGAACCGGTGTCAGCAGAGGTGAGGAGGTCATTGAGGACTTAATGAGGGCCGTTTCTGTGCTGTGGTGGGGACGAAAACCAGACTGAAGGGGTTCAAAAAGCTGGTTGGTTTGGAGATGGGGGTGGAGTTGTTTGGAGATAATGCGTTCTATTGTTTTTGAGAGAAAGGGGAGGTTGGAGATGGAACGGTAATTACTGAGGGAGGAGGGATCCAGACCGGGTTTCTTGAGGATGGGAGTGACAGCAGCAGTTTTGAAGGCAGAGGGAACGGTTCCTTGGGACAGG